CAGAATCCTGTGGACCGATTCCGTTCATTCTTTGCATGTGCCTAGTACCTTATGTGGGACATATGCACATGCAGTGGTTTAGCGATTCGATTCAAAATGGCCAACTGGCAGCCATCTTGTTTTTTGAAAATAGTGTATTTTGGACATGCTCTGGCAGTTTTCTTTCAAACTTGGTACATAGATTATACATGTTAGGATACATGTCCATGATAATTTATTTCACAAGTGGATCAAAGATGGCCGACTGGCAGCCATCTTGTTTTTTGAAAATGTCGTATTTTGGACATGCTTTGTCAGTTTTCATTCAAATTTAGTACATAAATCATGCATGTTAGGATACATGTCCCCAGCCGTCCGTGAGTTCCTGAGTCTGTCTGTCCGTGTGTCCGTCCGTCCGTGCGTCCATTTGTCAGTCTGTCCAGAGTCATCTTTCAGAATCCTGTGGACCGATTCCGTTCATTCTTTGCATGTGCCTAGTACCTTATGTAGGACATATGCACATGCAGTGGTTTAGCGATTCGATTCAAAATGGCCGACTGGCAGCCATCTTGTTTTTTTGAAAATGTTGTATTTTGGCTTACACTGTGTGTCAGTTGTCATTCAAACTTGGTACATAGATTATACATGTTAGGATACATGTCTATGACGATTTATTTCGCAATTGGATCAAAGATGGTCGACTGGCAGGCATCTTGTTTTTTTTTATGCAGTATCTTGGACGTGCTCTGTCAGTTTTCATTCAAATTTGGCACATACATGTACTTTATACATGTTAGGATGCATGTCCATGACAATTTGTTTCAATATCTGGTCAAGGATGGCCGATTGACAGCCATCTGACTTTTTGGCCTTACTACTTTATTTCCACAATTTATGTACCATTTTCATCCGTATTTGGCACATACATCATACATATCAGTGTGTTTCATAATCAGATCAAAGATGGCTGAATAACGACTGTTTTTATTTTTGGCCATATTACTACTACACGGAACACGTGTTTTGATGTAAATAAACAATCTGTTGTATATGCCACTGGAACTCAAGTTTCAAGGACACGCTCGCGACAACCCCTCCGCTTTATTATGACGAGCACAAAGGGAACTTTCAAAAATTTAATGGGGACTGTGTCATTTTCAATGACTTGTTTATTTTGAAATTTGAAAGCAGGGACTATTAATTTGGGTACTGCACATTCATCTGTCTGTGTGTCCATCATACAGAAATATTTCCAAGACATTCAAGAACCAATTAATGCTTATTTCAACTGCTTATGTTTTTTAAGCTTGTTCACAGTTCAGCTCAAACCAATGCTGTTTCATTTCAAATCATTGTTGTTATATTTCACAAAATAAAATGGAGGTGATAATTCTGTTTCTGGTTGAAATCCTCACATATTAATCACATAATTTTATAACAATAATACATTCACTACTGTTTCTGAAAAAAAATAGTGGGGATGATTATGTATTTCATGAATTTTATGAAATTCATGCTTATTAATTACTGGATTTGCTTTTCATTCAGACAGACTACATTTGATTTCACAAAATAAATATGGAATGTGTCAAATATTGTGTCAATGTGATGTGTAACTGACATACAGAGATTTTTCCTGATGCATTTAAATTGTGCCTTCAGAAGTCACATACAAACTCTCAAGCAGTCACCAAGGTGACCCAACATAATTTTTAGAATTCCATTGTGACTCCAGATTCCTACAAAATCAGTCAGCACAAAACCATTCAGTAACACTAATTTCATGTTTATTTTTCTAGCTCAATGTGTAGTTAATAATCCACCAAGGAATACATACATTACCAACCGTAATGTTCGTATCGGTTACCGTGTAAACCATGGAACACATCTCAACTATGAATGTACTGATGAAAATAGATATGTACTAAACCATACACAAGATGCGGAATGTTTCAATGGCTCATGGAACATGATTCCAACATGTGTTGCAAGTAAGTATTGTTTCAAAGTCATGTCCAGTGTTTTGGGGGCAGGCAACTAATTTAACAAGGCTGTTCATGTTATAGGTTTTGTCACCTACTTTTTTAGCTCCGCTGTCGACTTTGTCGAGCGGAGCTTATCATATGAGTGATTGTCCGTCGTTGTCCGTGTCAATGTTTTCGACTTCTTCTTTTAATTTTTGGTAAAAAGTGATATTTTGATTGCTCTTATATTACATATATTGGTACTACATGTGGACTTCTTTCAGATTTGTTAATTTTGTGGTGATATCTTCAATTATCTAATTTTGATGATTATTTTTGGTGAAAAGTGATATTTTTGAATTCTTGTTGAAAACAGCAAGTCCTGTTGCTTTGATGCTATACATATTGTTCATTTTCTAATGATATCTTCTGTTCTTTAATTACAATGTGCATTGCTAACAGCGGAGCTATCTCAGCCGACAGGCTGCTTGTTCAAATCTCTGTTATTTTGAGGTTTCAGACAGTAAGTCTGGAGCTATTTAAGTGTAAATACTTTCTTGGTGTGACAAACTGATTGTGTTTTGAAAAATTGTGTTTCAAGTGAATGTAGGAGATACCTGATCTTTTTAGTCACAACTGAATGTTGCCCAAATCTGGTATTTTTACATGTCTGGAACCAGATCTTGGGCATGTTTCGGCCAATTTACTTCAAACTTGGTGGAATTATTAACCATTATGTGTAGTTCATACACACCATTTTGATTTATAAATTCGACCACCAGTCGGCCATTTTGTTTTTACAATAAATGTCATACTTTGAGCAGTTCACTTAAAAGTTTATACATAGACAGTACATCATGGCATACAAACCCACATACAATAATTTTGTTATCTGATCAAAGATGGCCGACTGCTGATAATTAGTCCCCGTCTGGACGAAGTCCGAAAACGGGGACTTATAATTCTGTCTCCGTCCGTGCGTCTGTCCGGAGTCATATCTCAGAATCCCTTGGACCGATTCCGTTCATTCTTTGCATGTGCCTAGTACCTTATGTGGGACATATGCACATGCAGTGGTTTAGCGATTTGATTCAAAATGGCCGACTGGCAGCCAGCTTGTTTTTTGAAAATAGTGTATTTTGGACATGCTCTGGCAGTTTTCTTTCAAACTTGGTACATAGATTATACATGTTAGGATACATGTCCATGATGATTTATTTCACAATTGGATCAAAGATGGCCGACTGGCAGCCATCTTGTTTTTTGAAAATGTTGTATTTTGGACATGCTTTATCAGTTTTCATTCAAATTTAGTACATAGATCATGCATGTTAGGATACATGTTCCCAGCAATCCGTGAGTTCCTGAGTCTGTCCGTCCGTCCATGTGGCAGTCCGTCCGTCCGTCAGTCTGTCCAGAGTCATATTT